CTCCGTGTCATACTCCGCGTACAGCAACTCTGTTGCCCACGCCGCTCCTCTCGCCCATGCCGCCATTGCCCCTGTAGCTTACGGTGCATACGCTGCCCCATTAGCCCACGGTGCCATCGCTGCCCCCTACGCCCATGGTGCCGTTGCCTACGGTGCTCATGGCGCCCACGGTCTCGGCTACGGTCGTTTGGGATGGTAAATAAGAACTTGAATGGACCTTTACGTGCTGTGATTATAGTTATACCGATAGCGAACGTGAACCTTGCATACTTGATACATAACTTAGAAATAGCCAACAAAATACTCAACTTATTTAAATGTCTTAAGTCATGATTGTTTAGAGGCTGTCTGATTTTCTGTAAATAGTTAAAAAGTTGTAACTGTGTGAATCTTTTGCGAAATAAAAGTATTTATTCGTACATAGTAATTTTATTAACAACATATTACCTATAGAAAGTCTGTTTTAATTAAGAAAATTATAATACAAAATCATATTCATACAAATCGCTAAAAATTCTTAAACTTCTGCAGCGAGAATGGTTGCTAATCACCGATAGAACCACCGTACTAATTAAGATTGCTGCTTGCCCAATTGCTCTACATTACATAAAAAAACTAGAGATGAAATACAACTTTTCTGAAACATATTCATACCAGTTGGAATTGAACCAAAAATTCTAAATCTAATCTTTGGATTCTTTTCATTTTTAATCAATTTAAAGTCGTATTAACTTTATGACTGCCAAGGAATGTAAGAGAACGGTTCAATCGGTTAGCAATTCGGCTAATAATAATGTGCGCGGGCGCATTTGCCTTAAATATGGACCGAACAACTTTGAAATAAGTAATTTCTGTAAGTACATTTCCTGCATGACTGGTTTTGTGCTTATAAAAAACAAACACATGAACTTTGCCGTGTCCTTGATCTTAAATACAAGGATTACGTAACTTAACAAGGATATACATGAACTTGAAGTAAATTATTTTTTATGTATTATGTAACATACATGAAACTTATCTTACTTATTTTTTATTTATTTTTAGATCATATCGACAAATTAATACAAGTTTTTTTTTTTTTTTTTTATAAGAA